CGGGATAGGCGGGCACGGTGGGCAGAGAGCCCGCGTGGCGCTGACAGGCTGTCCTGGAAGGTGCATGCAGTAGGGAGACGGGGGCGGACAGGGAAGCTCCAGCTTGGTTAAGGAGGAGCCTGCGGGGAGACCGGAGAAGAGGCTGGTGCAGACGAGAGGCCCCGAAGAGGCAGGGGCAACTGGCCCGGTCTTCACTGCCTGACCCAGAGCACATGCACTCTGCCCAGCCTGCCCTGTCCCTGCCTGTCAGGGTGAGCTCAGGACCCAGCAGACTCCACCGTGAGCTCCCCTCCTGGTCACATGGATGACCGGGCAGGCCTGACCACAGCGCTGCCCTCACGGGCCTCTCTGCCCACAGCCATGCCTTCCGGCTCTGGAGGGCCCTGGGTGCCGAACAGCCCCTGAGCCACCTGGTGCTGGCCGCGCTCCTGGCCTGGCTGCACGAGCGGCCCCTTCCCCTGGGGAGCAACCACAGCCCCCAGCCCAAGGAGAAGACCTACCTGCGCTCGCTGGCCGTGAGTCTGCCCACTCAGACTGCCCGTGCCATATGCCGACAGACACCTGGCACCCAGGGCACGCCCAGACGGCGGGGAGCCAGCTGGCCCCAGCCTGGAGGAAGGCCTCAGGCAGCCCACCCCAGGCTGACCCTGGGTCCAGCCCAGCTCCTCACATCCCAGGGCTGGCCCTCTGAGGCGGGAGGGAGGACTGTCTGGAAGGCTGGTCGGGATGTCAGGGCAGCCTTGTAGGGAGGGCCTCGGGCCCTCACGGCAGAGGGGAAGGTATGGAGAGGCTGGAGGAATCTTAGAAGCTTTCTCCTCTGGGGATCCTTCCTCCAGCTTCCCCCACAAGCCCAGGCTGGCTTGCTCACCTCCAGGAGCAGCGAGCTCACTTCCTGGTGTGACTGCTCATCCCCTCAACTAGACACGGGCCCTGTGTGGAACTTTCCAGGCTGAGCCTCTGCCGCAGTGTCCAGAACTGCTGCCCGCCGCAGCGTGACCGAGCACTGGAGGCAGGGGGGAGAGTCCTGCCCACTGTGTGCCAGGCACTGAGAAGCCCTGCTCCCCACGCCCCAACTGGCTGAGGCCCCCAAGCAGAGAAGCTCCCCCTGTCAGACCACCCAGCTGACCCATAGCAGGAGGCGTCCATGCAGTCGGGGGAAGGTCACAGGGAGTGACGTGGACGGCCTCCAGGCAGACCACAGGGGACAGGCCACGTAGCCACCCAGGGGCGAGCAGAAAGGGCCAGCGCAGGGAGAGGCTCATGGAGCTCAGCCCGCCCTACCCCTCCAGGCCATGAACACGCTGCACGAGCTGCAGTTTGCCCGCGAGTTCAAGGCAGCGGTGCTGGAGGCCTACCCTGAGCTGCTGCTGGCGCTGCTCACGCAGATGCACTACGTCCTGGAGCTGGGCGTGCCCGGGGCGCCCCCGCCCAGGCAGCCCGCTGTGGAAGCCACGCCCAGCCCCCAGAGGTAAGGCAGGGCCCTTCTTGCAGCAGGAACCGAGGCCCAGGTGGTGGGGCAGGGCACTCCTAGGACAGGGCGCAGAGCTGTGCCTGGGAACCGCAGGCCTGACCCGCCCCAGGCTCCCGAGGCCACAGCTAAGCTCAAGGCCTCAGCGGGGCCCGCTCCCCTGAAACCCTTGATGGAAGCCACAGCACGCCAAGCACGGCCCGCAAGGCCTGAGGCGCTTGTCCTGCAGGGTTGAGTCTCAGTCTCCCCCCAGGAAGACCCTGGCCACTGGACCAGGCCCACCAACAACCTCACCTTAACTTGACACCATCTACAAAGACCCTGATTCCACAAAAGGATTCGAACATGTCTGTTTAGAGGGGACACAGCCGAGATCCCAGCGCTGCCACCGCCAGGGCCACAGCCAGCATGGAGTGTAGCCACAGGGCAGGCGTGTGCCCGTGCTCTCAAACTAAGACGCTGCCATGTCAGAACCCACCAGGTGGCACCAGGAACCCACGCGGTCTCCACACCTGAGCCCAGGTTGCCCCTGCAAGGGTTCTTGAGAGGAATGTCACCCTCCGCATTTTTTTTTTTTTTCTTTTTTTGCTATGGGGTTCGTGTGCTCCCCAGACAAAAGAGGGGCCACAGCCAGCATGGAGTGTAGCCACAGGGCAGGCGTGTGCCCGTGCTCTCAAACTAAGACGCTGCCATGTCAGAACCCACCAGGTGGCACCAGGAACCCACGCGGTCTCCACACCTGAGCCCAGGTTGCCCCTGCAAGGGTTCTTGAGAGGAATGTCACCCTCCGCATTTTTTTTTTTTTCATTTTTTGCTATAGGGCTCGTGTGCTCGCCAGACAGACAGAGAGAGACAGAAAGCAAGAAATCACCCCCCGGGGGGATGGCCACGCCGCAATCCCTTCTCCTCCATTCTCCTCTCAGGATCTTGGGCACGCACGCACATGCACCCAGTGTGAGTTTAAGCCACCGGGTCCAGGACTCAAACCGCTGTCGATCATATGGGAGTCCAGCGACATAGCCATTATGCCAACTGCTTGTCCCCACCCCTCGCATTTTATAGAGGGTGCAACCAGGGCGAGGTGGTCAGGGGCTTCCCCAAGCCACACGGCGTGTCCACGCAGAGCGAGGTGGTCAGCAAGGCCCCCACCCGGCCGCCACTTGCCCCTAGAGGCCAACATCCCTCTGGGTCCCTCAGGCATTTCACTGGGCCTGGCTTATCTCAAGCTGATGCCATGACAGTCCCCTGCCCTCCCCTGCATGGCCCTCTGGGAAGGCCCAGCCACCCAGGACAGCCGTCCTCAGCACGCTGCCCTCCTCTCCCTTCTGCACCCGTCATACTTCCGGAAATCCAATAAGCAAGTCCTTCGAACCCGGGGGACTGACGCTTTTCATTTGTTTGTATTATGATGTGCTCCACGCAATTCGTCAGCTCTAACAGCTCTCCCCGAGGCACGTCACTGAGAGTAATGTCACTTCTCCTCATATCGCCTCTGAATTTGAATGTGCATCGAGCTCCTTTTTATTCAGATCAACCATGCAAAATGCATGAATCTTCCCTAATAAGCTCATAAAACGTTCTCCTCCTAGAACACGGAGGGTGGGGTGCAGGGCTGTGATGACCCGCCTCGTGTCTGCCGCTCCCCTCCTGGGGTTACCACTCACCCAGGCCTCTCTGGGGCCTCCCAGCCCCCCTCTCTAGACAACAGCCCCCACCGACAGTCCCTCTCCCACCCCCCAGGTCCTCCCCCTGCGCCTTCATGTCCCAGCAGCTCTTCCCCACCCGCCCTTCTCACCTGGATTACCGCCTGCACCCCACAAAGTCGGGGGCCTGGAGAGCAGGGACGTCTGTCTGCTCCCTCGGGGTCCTCCTTACAGTGGACATACGTCTATCTCCCTGGGCTCCCCCATGGAGCAGGGACATCTGTCTGTCTCCCGGGGCTCCCCCATGGAGCAAGGACATCTGTCTGTCTCCCTGGGGCTCCCCCATGGAGCAGGGACATCTGTCTGTCTCCCTGGGGCTCCCTCATGGGGCAGGGACGTCTGTCTGTCTCCCTGGAGCTCCCCATGGAGCAGGGACATCTGTCTGTCTCTCTGGGGATCCCCCATAGGGCACAGACATCTGTCTGTCTCCCTCGGGGCTCCCCATGGGGCAGAGCCGTGGGTGGCTTTCTACCCAGGCCTGGCTGGGTGTTGTCTCCACCTCTCAGTGCTGCTTCTGCCCACTGCCCCAGCAGGTGCCCCAGCACAGAGGACTCTCGCCCAGAGAGCCGTCCTTTGGCTCTGAGTGGCAGCTTGAGTCACTTGCCCACCCCAGTCCCGTCATGGCCACAGGGCAGGAGAAGGCCTGAATGGCCAGGCCTGGCTCCCATGCTGTCTCTGAAGCTGAGACGGAGCCTGGGCCTCCATGCCAGAGAATAAAACCAAGGGCTGGTCACCCCCTGGGCCCAGGCATGGGCGGGCTGACCAGCAGCCATGCTAACGAGCAATAACGTGGCCAGCCGGGGGTGGGGGCCCACAGGGCCTCAGTGAGCATACCAGCTGGGTGCACGGTGGCAGTCCGGGGTCTGATGCTGTGTGCCAGGCTGACGTGGCACTGTCGGGGAAGGGGGGTAAACAGTCACTGTCTGGGTGCCCACAGCAGGTTTGGGGCTGGCACAGGACAGGGGGCAGCCAGTCAAGCCTTGTGACATGGTGGGACCAGCTCTGGGCGGCTCTGAGGCCACCGACGTCCTGCTGGCCCTGCCCTGGGTGGGGCGCCCTGTCCTGGCAGGGCCGCTGCAGGTGCACAGCCTACCCGAGGGACCCCCCACATTACCCTCTGTCTCTGACTGAGCCCCTTTCTAGGGGGCCAGGGCCTGACCATCAGCTGTCAGCTGTCCTCCCCAGCTCCTCCATCCTGTCCCACCAAGGACTCCTCTCTCCTCTCAGCCCAGCCAGTGATGGCAGACTTCTGAATTCTCCCGGGCACTACCTTTCTGTTGCAAAGACACAGCTCAGGGCCAGCAGGTGGCATGAGGGCTAAGGGAATGCATCCTACATAGCCAGTTGGGTGGTTTGAGTCCCAGACCTGGCAACTTGTAAACCATGCTGGGCACGTGCGTGTGTGCAAAGAAAAAAAAAAAAAGACACACCCCACCCTCCCCTTCTCCCGTCTGCTCTGTTTCCGGGCCAAGGCTTGCGATTAAAAGAGGAGGGTGGGCCGGCCCACAGCTCAGTGTTAAGTGCTGTGCGTTGGGAGCCGGATCCCACATAGCCCACCACAGTGCCAACCCTGGCCCACGTGGCTTGGAAAACACGCTGGGCATATGTGTGCCCAGATCCTGCTAATGGAGAGACGGGAGAAAAAGCTTAGAGACATGAGCACACCTCGCTGGGAGGTTCTCTCTCTCTCTCATTGCACATGCCTTCTGTAAAAGAAAAACGAAGGAGGAGCCTCACACCTGTTAAGATGACTACAACAAAAACAGAAAACAAGTGTAAGCAAGGATGTGGAAACGTGGGAACTCCTGTCCCTGCTGGTGGCGTGTGAGCCGGTCAGCCGCGGGACGCAGCAAAACTACACCTGGAGTTCAGATAGCAAACAGCACGGCCGGACCCAGCAGTGCACCTCCAGGCAGACGCCCAGGGCAGCGAGGTCGGGGACTTAAGGCGGTGGCATGCGGCCACATCCACAGCGGCCCATTCTCAGCAGCCCCCAGAAGTGACACAGGGTCTGGGGATGGATGAAGGGGCACACAGCTGACGTCTGACATGCACTGGAATGTCACTCAGCCTCGACGAGGAGGGACGATCTGACACAGGCTACCACACATGCGAACCTTGAAGCCCTCTGCTGAGTGAGAAGCCCGTCCCCAGAGGACAGACGCCGTGGGAGTGCCCATCCGTGAGGTCCCCAGAGCACAAGACCCACAGGCAGGAAGCAGAAGGTGTTCTGGAGAGTTCCCAGCTGAAAGGGCCCGTTTTTTGAGATGTGGATCCAGTCACTGCTAAAGTAGAAGCCCGAGGGCGAGGGAGAGGGAGCACGGCGGTGGGGAGGACGGCCCGAGGACCCGCTGGGCTCGGGGCACAAGCTTCGGTCTGGCGGGCGGAAGGAACAGAGGCCTCTGCCTCCCCTCTTGGGATCCTCTGCCCTTCAGCCCCAGGGTGGTGCCAGGGAGGTGCCAGTATGTGGCGGGTGTCCCTAGAAGGCTGAGGACAACCGCGCTCCCAGGCAGGGAGGGCTGGCTCTTCTTATAGACACTCATGGGTTTCAGGTGACACGCGTCCCTGGACATTGCCAGAGGTCCCATGCTGGGGTGGGTATTAGACATGCAGGGGTGTTGGACAGGGATCCCCAAGAACACAGCCAGCTACATACCGCTTTCCCAGAGCACTTCACAGAGCTGCAGGCCCAGGGCCACGGTGCAGGACTACCCAACGAGGCCTGAGGGGCCGCAGGACCAGAAGCTTCGCAGTCCTCAGGGGCAAGCAAGATGCCCCCCCCCCCCAGGTCTCTCCTCCTGAAAACACCGTCGCTTCACACTGAGACCAGCGACCTAGAAAATGCAACTTCTTGTAATGACAGCTTGGGGCGAGGTGACAAGCCAGCTGGCATTTGGATTGGCATCATCGGGGACTTCCACAGAATGACATTTTGTCCTCTGACATTCGGTTTTGCAAATTTGTGCAGAAGGGCGCCTAGTTGGAGCTGGCAGCTGCATTCCAGCACCGACACTCACTGGGCCAGGCCGAGCTCGCGGAGACTGGGCAAGGGGCAGCCTGACCAGGGAGCGGGCCGGCAGGCTAGACCGCCTGCACTTTGTGGGCTGTACTCCAGGCTGTCCACCCTGCCTGAACCCTGACTACTGCTCCGGGCCAGGCTGTGCGACCTGGACAGGACACCTCACCTCTCTGGTCTGCTGTCCCTCCGTCCAAGGAGGGCGACCTGCAGCATCACCTGAGATGGCCCACACTTTTCTCTGGGGCCCCCCGAGGCCATGCCCTGGCAGTCTCCTCCCTCCCCACTGGCTCCAGGTCCAACCAGGCCCGGCCTGAGCCCAGCATTTCTGTGTTGACCCGGGCCAGTAAGAAGGCCCCAGCAAAGTGACATCTTTCTACTGGAGTGGCCGGGGTCCTTCGGGGGCAGGGGCGGCCAGGTGACTGCAGCTGGCCAGTGGCCCTGACCACCCGTGCCCCTGTGCAGCACATCGCTGGAAGCCCTGAAGAGCCTGCTGTCCACCACAGGGCACTGGCATGACTTTGCCCACCTGGAGCTGCGGGGCACCTGGGGGCTGTTCTGCTCCGCCCACACCTACCCGCAGGGCGTAGGTCTCCTTGCCAGGTACGATGGGCCACCTGCTCCTAGCCACCACCAGCTGGGGGGTGTGGGCCACAGGGCCACGCTGGGGCCCCTGTGAGCAGCGCCCTCGGGCTCATGCCAGTGCACACGGCAGGCCCTGGCACGGGGGGGCACACGTCCCCTGAGCACTGGCACGCAGAGCCCACCCCAGCACCTTCCCACATGGCCTACAAGCTCAGAGACAAGGGCCGCTCTGGCCCCCCATGTCAGGCCTGGACCTGGCACAAAGGAGGTGACCATTGCAAAGGGGTACAGAGACAGCTCCCACCCATGCCAGGGCACTGCTGGCCACCCAGCCAGGGGTCAGGTGCTGGAGGGCGGGGCACAGGACAGTGACGGTGCGCGTCCCCAGGGCCATGGTGCAGAACCACTGCCGGCAGATCCCGGCCGTGCTGGGCCAGCTGCTGCCCCGCCTGCAGAGCCAGGAGGAGCGGGAGAGGAAGGTGGCCGTCCTCATCCTCACTGAGGTAGTGGCGCGAGCTGAGTCCACCCTGCTGTTCCTCGACCCCACGGGGTTCACTCTAGCCCAGCAGACCCCTGCCCAGCCGGCTCTGCAGGAGTCCACAGTCGGGGGCCCCAGCTGGTCCTCTCTGACTACAGTCCCGGGGCACCCGTGTCCCCACCCTCGTCCCCTGCAGAGCTCCAGGGGCGCTGGATGGACTGTCCTGCTCTGAGCACCGCGGGGTCCCCAGCCCAGGACAAGGAGGCTTGGAGTGGCTAAAACCAGTCAAGTCCGGCTGTGGCAAGCATGGCCGTGGGAGCCCCAGGCCATGGGGGACAGGGGGGTGCTGTATCTTCTGTAACCAACCCCAGTCAGAGAGACCAGACCAGAGCCCCAGCAGGAAAGCCTGGGCCACCTCCGAGGGGTTCCGTCCCCAGGGCCCCCGCGAGCCAGGCCGCTGGTCCGCCAGCTGACTGTGTCCTCAGCCAAGGCCCTTCTCTCTGGGTCTGTTTCCCCAGGTGGGTTACAAATTCTTACCAACCAAGAGGCCCCACCGCCCTTCCAGAACCTTTCCCTGCCTCTGGCCTGGAGCCCCTCTCCTTGACCCACTGCCTCCCATCACCCCAGTTTCTCTACAGCCCTGCCCTGCTTCAGGTGCTCCCCAAGCAGGCTGTCCTGACCATGCTGGCACGAGGCCTCAGGGACCCCAGCGCCGAGGTCCGCGTGTGGAGCCTGCAGGGCCTGGGGAACACCCTCTTCCACCCGGAGAAGGTAGGGCCAAGGGTGCTGTGGCCGGCGTGCATGCCCATCCGCAGAGCAGCCCCAGGGCTCAGCAGCGTGGACAGGATCAGCCATGCGGGAGGGGCATCCGACCTCCTGGTCCTCCCTGCACCCCAGGTCCTCGCCTATAGATACGCGAGTGGCAGGAGGTCGGCTGTGCCCCCTGCCTGGGACAAGCTCCTGTACACCGAGGAGGTGGTCCCGGCGGCCCCCGGGTGCCCCCGAGCAGCCCTAGGGAGCGCTCAGGCCTGCCCAGAGAGGACTCCTGAGACTCTCACACATGGGCCCCCCCAACCCTGACCAGTTCACCCCATTGCCATGACCCCACGTCCCATCAGGAACGACTGGCAGGGTCCCGCAGGCACCGCAGGACACTGGCTCGCCTCAGTTTGGGCCTAGAACTCCGCGCTGCCCTCACTGTGGGTCTCTGGGGTGCCCAGCCATGGTCAGGAGCCCACGCCCTGGGCCGCTCCCTGCCCCAGCACTCTCTTGCCAGCACAGTTCTTCACTCCCGGCCGCAGTGTCTGGGCCTACAAAGTGGGAGCGGTGACAGGCCCTGCCTCGAGTGGGGACAGTCACCAGCAGCGTCCGTGTGTGCCTGGTGCCCCGAAGGGCCCTGCCAGCAGCTGGCTGTGACAGGCAGTTGGAGGTCTTCATCTCCCCACCACCCAGGGCCTGCTGTGTAACCCCGGGGAGGCGAGCCCCCCACTCGTTACTGTCGGAGGAGGCCATCAGGAGCAGGAGGGTCTGCAGGGCCGGTGGGACTGTGACAGGGCAGGCCACGGAAGGGAGGTCCCGGGTCCATTCTCCCATCAGCCTGCTTCGCCCTCTGTGAGACTCACACGTCGGCACTTGTTAGGGGGGTAATGGTTCCCAAAGCCCTCTCCACGCAGGTCACGTGCAATAGGTGCTTCCCAGGGATGGAGACTGGCCGGTGCTTCCTGTCAGCCTGTCCAGCACCCCACCACTCCTCCACTGATCCACCCACCCACCGTTCCACTCCCTTATCCACCCACCCATCTACCCACCGACCTATCCACCCACCCACCTATCCACCCACCCACTCACCTATCCACCCACCCACTCACCTATCCACCCACCCACTCACCTATCCACCCACCCACTCTTCGT